CTCGCTGAACTCCCTGGAGGGAAGGAGTCAGAGGCTGCAGCAGTGGGACAGTCCTTCCTGGCAGGAAGCATAAACCCAGGCCTTCCCAAAATATGAAGCTGGAATTTGACAAGGCTCATGTGGTCCCTTTGTGCAAATGAAAAAAAGATGCCCATCCCAGGATATATCTATCTACTGAAACTGTTATAATACACTGGCTTTTGAAAACAAAGCATTTGGCTGCCAGCTTCCAGGAAACTGGAATAAATGATAAATAAAGTGACAATGTGAGTTGAACACCCTTTTACTGTTTATGTGACCTCACAGAGTGGCACTGTTTTTTAAAAATCTTTATTCAAGCACCAAGGAGGCTTGGCTGAGGAGTTGGGGAAAAGGCTCAAGGCAGGCTTGCTCTAATGCCAATCCACACTGGGCAGGGCACAGCATGGGGTGAAGAGGGAGGACAGAACCTTCTAGAATCAAGCTGACCTGCTGGAGGGTCTGACCTGCTTCTTCCTCCTGCAGAGCCTTTTCCTGACACTCCACTAATCTACCGGCTGAGCCTGTGAGGTGGGGCTGTTCCCTTTGGGGTACGTGGAGTCAGAAGTGAATGAGGTGCAGGTAGAGGAGGGTAGGTCTGATTTCTCCACACTGCTGGTAAACGTGGGAGAGGAAGAAAGAGAAGACAATCTGTACCCTGAAGGCTCAACAGTAGCCTCTCCTCAGGTAGGTCAAGAAGGCAGCCCATGGCTCTGGTCCAATTTCCCCACGTTGATGCTGGGGAAGCAAGGCACACAGAGGGGCAGTGACTTGCCCAAGGTCATACAGTGACTTAGTGGCCAAACTGACTCCCTCACTCCAATGCTAAGGGGAAGCAAATTCATCCTTCGTCTCTCAGGGCACAAAGCACAGCACCCCTCTCTTGCCTCCCCTCTGGTGACTGAGGTAAACCTCCTGGGAGGAAGTCTGTAGAGAGACCCCTCATGGATCTCGGAGTGGCTGCTCAAGTGGGAACACGAGGTCCTGGCTAGTTCGGTTTGGCAATGAACTTCACACGGGAAATGTCTTTGGTAGCCCATGGGCCAGGCTCCCTTTTGACCCAGCACAACCAAAGCCCAACTCTGGGAGGCTGCTGCAGGGAAGAGGGTCTCCAGTAATTGACTTTAAAAGAAACCTTGATCACTTGATGACTGAATAAATGAGATGTGTTTTACCCACATCATGGAGCATTCAGACATGAAAAGGACAGGAATTCTGACCCATGCTACAACATGGACCAGCTTTGAAAACTTCATGCCAGGTGACAGAAATCAGACACAAAAGGCTCATTTATAAGAAACATCAAAAATAGAGAAAAAGCAGAATAGTGGCTGGTGTAGAGTGACTGCTGATAAGCATGGGGTCTCCTTTAGGGGTGAGGAACTGCTTTGGAACTGGGTGGAGGTGCCAGTGTACATTTTATTATTTATTTTTGACACAAGGTCTCGCTATGTAGTCCAAGCTGATCTCAAACTTGTGATCCTCCTACCTCAGCCTTCTGAGTACTGGGGTTACAGGTGTGTGCACCGCCACGCCCAGCCTTTTTGAACTGTGCACTCGGAAAGGGTTATATTACAAGAATTTCACACTGGGAGGAGGAGGAGAGGGGTGGAGTGAGGGCCAGGAAGGGGAGGAAAGCTGGCAGCCACAGCGGCTGCCCCACAGCCACTGCCTTGAGGCACCTATCTGGAAGGCCAACCATGGGTCAGCTCTCTCTTCTTCCAGGGAAAGAGCTGGGGCTGCCTGTGTCTTTCCATGCCCCAGGGAAGGGGTCAATACCCTGTGGCCTGTACTGGGTCCTGTGCACAGTGGCTTGGCCTCAGCCCTGAGAACTGATGCAGTTTCAGGAAAAGGAGTAGTGTACTTCGTGGCTCCAATTGACCAGTGGGACAGGTCTCAGCCAGGGGACAGGCTGTTTGCACAACCTTCCATCTGATTCCACAGGCTCTGCTTGCTCTTGAGGCACAGGGCCACACAAACGCATGGTAACCCTACCTGACCCAGCACAGCAATGCCCAGAGGGCCTCATGGGTACCTACTGTCACCTTGGGCCCCAGCTGGAACCTGCCACCCCCAGCCTGGTAACCCAAATGCCCTCTCTCAACACTTTCAGAAGGACCTGTCTAGATGTCTGCCAGTGTGGCCTATACGAATAGATGTCCTGAACTGACCCCAAACCAACTTCACTCTTCCTCTCCAGGCCTACCCTGTCTTCTGGGGCCTACTCAGGACAAACTGGCCCATCTTTCTGGAGTAGTCCTCAGAGCTCTGAGATGGGGCAGGTAGATGGCACGCCCAACCAGAGGCCTGTGCCTGGCCTCACATGTCACTCCTGCAGTGGTTTCCAGGCCTCAATTTTCCAATCTATGTCTTCCCCTCCTGCCAAGGCTATCCTAAGGCTCTGCTGAAATGAAGCGTAGAGTATAGCTCAGAACCAGGCAAGGGACTCCAGGGCAGCAGAAGCCCTTGGAGTCTGACCTTCCTGGAATTTGCCTGTGAACTATGGTCCACTTGCTAAGCTGGAGCAGACTTCTAGCGACCCCTCACTCTTGGCTCTCAGTCTTACCCATGAGTATACCACAGAAAGATGGAGCCTGACCGGTGACATTCATTTCTGCCAGATGGGGAGGTAAGGCTGGTCATCCTGGGTCTGTGCTCAGAGGTCTTGCTGGGTCAGATGTTTTCTTTCTCAATTCCTGCCCATAGCTTTGGTCTTTATCCCAGATTCCTGATCCCCTCTTAACCTGCCAGCACCAGGCCCACAGAGGGAAGCAGTGGCCAAAGACCAGGTCAGGAGCCCAGAGCCCTGTGTCTGGTCTTGGACATAACTGACCATGTACCCCTAGGATGCTTTCCACATCCCTGCAGCGTTTTCATAAGGGCACTGCAGGCAAACATGTAAGCCTGATCTGTTGCTGAGGGATGCTGGGCTCCAAGCCCTTCCTGTTAGAGGAAAAGCCAAGGAGGAACAGGTCCTCACTTTTGCTGGGTGGGTTCAACAACTATGCCAAGATCCAAGGCAAGGGACCAGCCCTTCTCCCCAGCCCTGCTGGCTGGGTTTCCCCTGCTGAGCCTGAGGGAAGCCCCAGGCTCTTCCCCGCTTTGGGGGAGGGGGTGCCGAGGGGGTGCCCGGGGGGAGGGACCTTTGAGACTGCCATTCCTGCATACAGGGCCTTGTCTGTTTCAGATGGTTTGTCTCTGGCAGTGACAGGAAGGGAATGCCAAATTAACACTGGGTAATAAATTCTGCAAAAGCCAATAAAACCAAAGCAGGAGGATAGAGGGGAAGATCTGCAGCAACTGATTAAACATTTTTGTTGGCAGTCACAGACACATGGCACATTTGCCAAGGTTTGCATCAAGGAGACATCTGGCCGTGGCCCATGTGTTTGCGGGAGGGAATCCCAGCAAGCAGAGACGAGGGGCCAGGGAGTGCAGGACCCCCATGGGGGCACCAAGCTGGGAACAATCTGCTGTGAGGGCCCAAGCACCCCCAGGACAATGGTCTCAGTGAGCTGGCCAGGAAACTTCCCAGGAGGACAGGGTTGGGACTTGCTCCCACAGACAAGAGCTACAGGCCAGGCACACCGGCCAACTCCATGGGTTGCAGGAGCTGAGGTCTGGGAAGAGTGGCCTGTGCTTGGAATGCCTGTTGCCCAGTCTAGCCCAGCCTACACCCAGGATTCTGGACTCAAGGCCTGACTCTGGCTAACAGCATAGCTATTAGCTAGGCCAGAGGTGGCCTACAAGAGGGCCCTGGAATCTTTGGAATCTTTTGAGTTTCTTGGTCAACGCCACAGAATATTCTCCTGCTCATAATGCTTACCCATAATGCTTATTTCTCCAGGGCCATACCAAGTTTGGGGGCTAGAGACCTGGGTCTCCAGTATACCAGCAGTTGTGTGTGCGTGTGCGTGTGTATGTGTGTGTGTGTTTTCCCAGCAGGCTCTGGGCCTTATTCATGCCAAAAGACCCTACAGAGTGTCTGTGTGGGCTGATGTATACCTGTGTTGGGAGGTAGGGACACATGGGTATAGAATGGACATTGGTCAGCTGACATGGCCAGTCCTCATCTTTGTTAGGAGGAACTGGTTACCTGGTTACCCACATGGTATTCTCCCATCTTTCAGTGATTCCACTGTCCATGAAGTCCAGCCCTTCAATCTAGCCAGAAAGCCCTTCCTACAGCAGCTCCAAGCCAGCACCCCTGAATGCAGGCCAAAGTATCATTGTGATGGCCTGGAAACTTCTCAAAAGAATGTCAACCAAGGAAGGTACCTGAATCCAACTTCTCAGACATTTTGCTCTCCACACAGTGCTATCCTCCTCCTGTATTTACCCAGGGCCCAGGGACCTCCAGCTAGCTTTCCAGACATGGAACTTAGCCACTGACTTCAGCAACACTTGGGGGGGTCCAAGCTCCTGGCCCACCACTTCAGAAACATAGTCATTTGCTCATCCTGTGGGGCATACTTCTCAGCCTGGAGACACCATGTCCCCTGCAGGACCTGGTCAAGTCCACTGCCCAGCCATGTGACCATATCATCAGCCCCGACGCTCAGTTCACAGCATCCTAACTGCTCCTACCTCCAGCTCCCTGGGTGTTAGCCTTGCCTCCTGCTTGTTCCTCACTGGCCATACTAACCACTTCTGTCCCTCAGCTCTGTCCCTCAGTCCTACATTCACAAATGCCATAGGCTGCCCTCACCTGGACAGCATCTACTCGTCCTCTAAGATTACACAATTCCACTCAGGGGACACCCACTCGGGCCAAACATCCTTGGCTGGGTTGGCCGCTGTCCTCTGGATGTCTGTGGTTCCTCCCCAAGCCACCTATGGCAGCACTGGGGTCCCTGTATTGTGGTTCCCTCTTTGCAGCCTCAGGGCTAGCAGGGGACCTGAGGCTAGAAAATGTTTCAGAGCTCCCCCAAGGGTGGAGTCGCCCCCAAGTGGGGAGGCTACAGGTCTGAGTCTTTACCTACCTCTGAGAAGAACACAGAGAGAATCACCAGACTGATCCAGTGAATGATGCCGGCGAACTGGACTGCACTGGAAACTGCAAGGAACACAGTGAGGGTGAATTTTAGGAGAAGGATTTCGGTGCATCAGCAGAGGCAGCCCTCTGCGACCCTGGGGTACTTGTGTGAACAGTTAGATCTGATCAGAGAGCAGGGCAGCTTTAACCAGTGGGAGGTGGCGGGTGGCCAATGGTGCTATGCTTCTCTCCAGGTCCAGGGGCCGTCTCCTCCTCCTCGTTCTCCTCCTCCCTTTGTGTCACAGCTAGACTCCAGGAAAGGAGGCTTCTGGAGGGGGTTATGACGGCTTTGGAAGTCCATGGCACAGTCACTCAAAGCACTGCACACTATTTGTGGGGCTCCAGGCAAGCTTATTTGATTTCCCACTCTGAAAACTGAGTGGCAGGGAAGGTGGTGTTGGCAGGGTGTTTTGGAGGGGTTTCTGGAGCGAGGCCTGGCAGGAGAAGCTGGACATCGGGAGAAAGAGGCAGAGTCTGAGAGCTGAGGAGGCCAAAAGTATCCTCGCCTTCTAAGGAGGGAGCTGAGGGCCACTGAGAGCTCCCACTTCCCTTTAGCCAGCCAGTCCTGGGAGTTCAGCACCATCTCTGGAAGGCCCTTCTAAAATACAGGATGCCACAATTAGCCTCTGAACCCTAGCAGGGCAAAAGCAGGGTGCTGGGGACCAGGACAAGGGTCAGGTGAGCCTTGCTGGAGAGAAGGCAGAAGGGATGCTGCTTAAAAGGGATACTGGGGACATCCTGGGGTAGGGGACAGGGTGAAGAGGGTGCAGGGGACAGGGATGCTACAACAGACAGTCTTGAACCTGCTTGCCACGATGCTCAGAACCCCACAGGAAGTTACTGCTGTGGGGAGGGCTAGCCCGAAAGAGGAACCCGCAGCCTGGGGTTGAGTAAAAACCAGGTCATCGAGCAGATCCAAGGGGAAGAAGGCTGCAGTACCAGGCCACAGGTGGGAGGCTCTGGGGTCCCCTGGCTTTGGGCCAATCTGGCCCTCAGAAGATGAGCCCTAGAGATGCTGGATTCCTTCCTGTCCTGAGTCACATGAATACCAGTGGGAATTGAGAGGCTGAGGCCTGTGTGACTCTGAAAAGACCTCCAGATGATTCTGAAAACATAAAATCTCTCCCTATTATTATCGCAAATGAATTCCTGTGCCTTTTTTTACGGTTTGCTTTAGAAGAGCCATAAATCTCTGACCGTGCATTTTATGGAATTTAAGATGCCTTTTATGAGCTGCTATTGGATCTCCCACCAAAATCAATCTCCTGGATACTTAATTTGAAGCCAAATTCCAGTGTCGGCTAGGTTCTCAGTTCTACTCAATGCCTCGTCACAACTGAGAAGCCTGGGGCCCCGAAGACAATTCACCACAGAGAAAGAAAGACCCCGTTATGGTTGGATCTCATAAAAAGCAGACAGTATGGATGAGTGGGAGGGAAAGTCTACAACATGGTTTAACTGAAGACAGGTTGAGTGTAAAACTAGCATGGGTCACTTATGCTGGAACCAAAGGGCCACCAGCCACATAAAACCCAACTAGACTTATCTGACAGAAGCAATTCTGGGCTCACTACCATCCTGTGTCCGAGAGCAGACGAGGCTATTGTGACTTGGATGGAATTCTGACACCCTGAGTATAAAGGATCCAGTAAAGGAATTGAGAAAACAAGCCTAAAACTTGACTGGATGGGTTTGGGATCAGCCAAATCCACAGTAGCTCCTGGGTTTTGTCAATGGCGGAAAAGGTAATCTCTCTGGGGCCAATAATTTCCTTCATTTTTTATTTGCACTTTTATGATCCACTTTCTGAATCAGTGGGACGAAGGGGAGAACTCTACCAGAAGCCACCTGCTCATCCAAGGGCCTAGTGGTGAACCAAGTCGGGGGTGGGGTGGAGATAAGACACAGCCTCCACAGGACACAGTTACCACAGGACACCTAGGACAAAAGAGGTAATGGACAGCCTCCTTGCTGCCATGTGCTGGGGGTGGCCCTGAGAAAACCTAGGGTAGGTGAAGAACCAGCAGGTAAACAGCCTGGTGGCTGGAAGTCCAGCTCAATGCCTCTGACTCAGGGCAAGTCTCTAATTCCTCCAAACCTTAATCCACTGTTGGTAAAATGGAATCCTATGAGTGTCATCCTCTCATAGGGTTGCTGGAAGGATCACATGTGTGGAAAAGTGCTTTTTGTCATCACATATGTAAATGACACTGGCCACTTACAGTTGGGTAAATAACCAAGCACTGTGGTTGCTGTCATTAGTAAGTACTGCAAGGTGACATATCTCCATCAGTGGGGACTCTCTTTAAGCTAAATTCCAACCTAGAAAATTCCAAATGGGAAAATAAAAAAAAAAATGCACACAGGGGTCCCCAACATTTTTGGTCTCATCACTTTCTGACCGTGGAATGCTGGAGAGGGGGCTGAAGAAGTCACATTGGGCAAAGAGGGGCAAAGTGATGCTGGGGATGACAGAGAGAAGCTGCCAGATGTGTTCCCGCCCCAGCAGTGAGCCCCATGAACCATGGGACCAGTGGAGTGGCAGTGGCGTGAGGCCAGGTGGGGGCAGATCACAGACTGCCGGTTGGGGACCCCTGATGGATGCAGACGCACAGTGAATACTGACAGCATACGTATTTGCATTTGTATCTCTCTTGCTACTCACACTGGAGAAGCTTTATATCTATTAGCAGTTCCAGAGTCAGGAGAATCACCACCAATATTACACAGGCTACCAGGAAACTGTTGAGACTCGCACTGAGCAATAATACCTGCCACAGGGCTGCTCTCTTCCCACAGCACGGCTTCAGCCAGTTAGACCTGTGGGGACAAAAGTGGGAGAGGAGGGGCTGAGAGTGGGAGGGGACAAGGGGGTAGATCCCAGCCACCGCCCTGCCTCAAACCAACCAGCCTCACTTCTTCTGGGTGCTACTTGACTCTAGACTTCATGATGAAACCCAATCTTATTTAAGCAGGCCACTGGGTAGAATCCTAAGGAGCAAAACCATCTCATCAAGGGATGGAGCTGGGTTGATGACACTGATCGTGGCAACTCACAGCACATCTCTGGACTTCAGTCACTTCATCTTTATTATGGGTATGAAGCCACACCCCACAGGTTAGCAGAGCCTGTCTATGTGTCAAGAGCTATATGAAGATAAGCTGTCATCACAGTTCTGCATATCTCAGAACCTAGCTCCAGCGTTTAGAACCTCAGTTTACCTTTAGTAAATGCTCAAGGAATTGGTGAATGAATTTTCTATTTTTCAGCTACAGAAAGATTCAGTTTGAATTGGATCCATTTTTCAAAACAGGTTCTATGGAACCCTACTTCTACAGAATGTGGATTGTTATTGCTTGATTAAAAAAAATTTTTCATGGGCAGGGTGCTGGTGGCTCACGCCTGTAATCTTAGCTACTCAGGAGGCAGAGATCAGGTGGGTCACAGTTCAGAGCAAACCTGGGCAAATAGTTTTTGAGATCCTATCTCAAAACTACCTAGCACAAAAAAAAAAAAAAAAAGCTGGTGGAGTGGCTCAAGTGGTAGAGTGCCTGTCAAGCAAGTGTGAGGCCATGAGTTCAAACCCCAGTACTGCCAAAAAAAAGCTTCCGTGGTTTGGTAAGTCTTGGAAATTTGAATCGAGGTTATTTTTCTTTGTGGCTCCACAAGGGATGACAGTACCTGTTTCTCTAACTTGTTGGACCATGGCACCCTTTCATCACAGAGCACCTATGATGCTCACATACCATGGACTGCCTTCGGAAGATCTCTGAGTAAATGACTTTGAACATTCACAGACAGAGATGAGGCCACTGAGGACAGACTCTTCCCTAAGTAGGCTTAGAAGTGTGTGAGTGTGTGGGGCGGGGTGGTGTTCACAGAAACTCAGAGCTGGGTGGGTTCCTCAGGACACGTGGTCATTTCTCCTCAGGAACATAGTGGGGAGGAGAATGGGACTGTGGTGCTGTGCTAAAGCCTCAATGACTGCTGTTTTAGTTACAATCTGGACCTGCCTGCCATCCCTTGAGAGAAGGACTGTCCCAAAGGGGCAGGGACAAGTGCCAGCCAGGGAGCCTTACTTCTGGCTCTGCCATCAGCTGCCCCAGGGCCATATGCAAGGGTTACCTGCCCACTGTGGTCCTCTACCTCCCTCCCCATTTGTAAAGTGAGGGTAATACTCCTTAACTTACAGGGTTATTGAAAGTTAACTGAAAAAACATCTGACCTGCTGAGCACAGTGTGGCTGAAATAGGATGATGACATGGTGACCATGGCGATCATGGCGGTGATGATGGCGATGGTGGTGATGGATGGTGACAAAATATCTAATGCCCAAAACAGTTGGCTGTCACCCCCATCTTTCCCAATCACAGGGAGCCTACTATAAGGAGGATCAGTGGCCACCTCCTAAAGGCCCCAGGGCCTTTAGGGCATCCCTGCTTTGACATGCTCCCGTCTCTCTCTGACGTAGTGTTGTGAATGTTTCCAGGTGGAGAGTTCTTCACAGCTCATCCAGGGAAAGCTTGAAAGGCAGAGCTCAAAGCCCAAGAAACCTGGTGGGAAATTGGGCTTGCTCAAGTCTTTCTGGATATTTTCTAACACCGATGAGAATGTGAGGCCCTGTCCTTGGCTCAGTGGGGACCAAAGACGGGGTGCATGGGTGTGACATGTAGTCCCCAGACTCAGGATGCTGGTCCAGAAAGAGAAGCAGGAGAAAGTCAACAGGTGATGAAGGAAGGTGAGGAGGTCAGTTTGGATAGGAAGCAGGTGGTATGAACCCACATGACCCAGCAGTGTGGGGTAAAGGATGGAGAGACTGGCCAGGTCAGAGGACAGAGCTTCTCATTAAGGGACAAATGGAAAGGGAGGTTGGCGGGGAGGGAAGTTCAGAGGGAGCCACATCACCAGGGCCATCCTTAGGGCCTTCACCGCCCCCTTTCGGGTGCATTTGGAAGTGCGTCACAGAGACCACTCCTTTCTCATGGGTCAACCCATTAGCAGGAGGCTGCTGGGTAAACCCAGACAGAACCATGTGGAGCCCAGGAGGAATACCAGATAAAATACAAGCCAACCAGCTGAATTAAAATGTAAAAAAACCACCAAATAACTTTCTAGTATGAGCACGTCCCAAACATTGCATAGGATGTACTTATACTAAAAAATTGTTATCTGAAATTCAAATTTAACTAGGCATCCTGAAGTCTTTCTTTGGGAAGGGGGATAGTGGGGTTTGGACTCAGGACTTCACATAGCTAGGCAGGCACGCTACCACTTGAGCTATACCTGCAGCCCTTAAAACTTTAGTTTATTTCTGAGATATGTGCACCACCATACCTGACTTATTTTTGAGATGGAGTCTTGCTAACTTTATGCCCAGTTGGCCTTGAACCTTGATCCCCTGTCTCTGCCTCCCAAGTAGTTGGGATTACAGGCCTGTAAGACTGTTTCCAATCCAGCATCCTGAATTCTTAGCTGCTGCATCTGGCAGTTCTACATCAGAGCCTAGGATGTAAGAAAGCCTGATAAGGGTGGCTGTGATTTGGTCAGAGAAATGGATTAGAATTCTGGGATTTCATGAGGAGCCAGGGCAAGCTGAAGGAAAGCCCACAAGAAGGCCACCTGTCCTGGAGGTGAAGCCTCCACATCGTTGCGGATGGACAGCCTTGAACCCACCTCCTTGGAGGCCCATCAAAGACTAATCCTGCTCACCAGAGCTATTGGCTGCACAGTGTTTTTGTATCAATGATCCTTTGACTGTTCAGATGTCTGTGGCGATCATTACTGCCCTCCTTACTCCTGGTCTAACCTGTCTGTCTCCCCAGCTCCTCTGCTTCCTTTCCCACAATGGGATATTCCTGCCTCCCTATCTTGGCCTTCTTTGCATCTCTCATACCTCTCAGCTTGTGCCTGGCCTCTGAGCTGTCTCATCACTTCTGGAAGTCATGTTCTCCCTCCTGTCCTGTGGACTCCTTCCAACTGTACACATCACCTTCTTCCAGGGGTCAAAGAGACTTGGTTTTGATCTCACATCCTCCCCCAAACCTAGGCCCATGTCTGTGGCCCCTAAGTCCAATGCCACTGGACTTTGAATGCCATTGTCATTTGAAATTGGAACCAAGCACATTCTGGCAGCTATAAATAAAAAAAGGCAGCTGTGCTGGATGCTGCTGGCTCATGCTATAATCCTAGCTACTTGAGAAGCTGAGATTCCAAGCCAATCTGAGCAAATAGTTCAAGAGACCCCCCATCTCCAAACTAACCAGAGCAAAATGAACTGGAGGTGTGGCTTAAGTGGTAGAGTGCCTGTTTTGCTAGCATGAAGCTGAGCTCAAATCCCAGTCCTATCAAAAAAAAAAAAATGGGGGGGCACCTGTGACAGTTGTTTGCCCAGGTGGTGTCACATCTGGGCAGCAGTGAGCAGGAATTTTCTCCATTATGTTCAATGGAAGCATCTCGGCATTAGTCCACTTCCCTAAGTCGTACATTTGATGAGTGTGGGCTGTGGCCCTTAGACACTGCTCCATCTACCCTAGGCCAGAGACCCACTGGGAGGAGTGAGCAGAGCAAAGCATTCCTCCCTGAACCAGTGTTTTGTATGTCGGTTTCCCACAGACAGGAGACTCTTGATCTGCCACCACAGGAGGAGAAGCCCACTTTATACTGCTGTTTAAATGCTAAAATATTGAGTTTCCTTTTGAAAGAGATGCAGGCAGGTGTCTGGAGTCACCTGGGGTCCAACATTAGCTGAGAGCTAGGCTGGCCCTGAAACTCAGGCTAGGTAGAGGACCAGGCAGTGGGCAGGGTTCAGAAAGGAGGCAGAGGCAGGTCTGGGAGTCAGATGACTACTGCACATCCAGCTCGTGCTTGGCAGACACTGTAACAAAATCGGCCCAACCCCGCTTTTGGGCAGTTTGCATTCTAGTGGAAGAGAGTCAAGCAATAAATGTCACGAGTTATGGCATGAAACAAGGGCATGCGCACATAGGAAAAAGCCAGTTGGTAGAGAAATTAGGATAGTGAAGGGGGAGTTTCCATTTTAGGGCTCGCTGAATAAGAGTCATTTGAGAGAGTTGAAGGGACTAAGGCCTGTGGGTACCCGGAAGAGAGCTGTCCAGGCCTGGTTAACCTGTTGGTGGTGGGATCTATTTTGTCACAACCAACAACAGGACAGGAGCCAGGAGGTAGGCCTGGGGAGAGGCCAGCTTGCCCTCCAGTGATGGCTGTAGCTTGCCAACCACTTACCACCCATGTTGGATGCTGCTGGGATGGCCACTGCCTGTGGCACAAACACCACATGTCCCAAGAACCCCAAGGTAGGTGGCAAAATTGAGTGTCACCACCCTGGTCCTGTTCTTCTGTGTCCACTCACTCATGCTCCCACCCAAGCTTGGTTTTCAGCTATTAGTCCCTCAAACCTGGCAGTGTGGGAGTGAGTCATGCAGAGCCCCTTGTTGTGCAACGTCAAGGGGGCACCATTTGTGTCACACCCTGTGTGAGCCCCTTTCCTCCCAGTGTCTCAGGAAGGTGACTTAAATGAAAAAGCATAAGAAATACCACCTGGCAAGGACACAGTATCCATAGGATACTGCAGTTAGTGAGAGTGGCAGGGAGGCAGGTAGGCATGGGGTAGGCCTGGGACTGCATCTTGGTCAGTGCTTCTCAGCCCAGGCTGCAACTAGAACCACCAAGAACTTTAAAAATGCTGGTGCACAGGCCTCACACCAGAGCCCTTAAATCACTACCTCTGGGGCAGGAGATGGGCACTGGTGTTCAGTAACTCTTCATGTTATTGCAGTGTGCAGTCTAGATGGAGAACCAC